ACATCGGAGATGTTGTAACAAGATGTTTAACATGTCAACAAAGAAGTTTAAACATGTAAACAAAGTAGAAGAGAACATAACTTGACAATCAACGGGTTACTTCAATCCAATAAACAGTGCCAACATGGAAAATGGATCAGATCACGATGGACTTTGTTACTGGCTTTACCTCGACACAGCGGAAGCATGATGCAGTATGGTAATTGTGTATCTAGATTAACTCAAATAAGTCTGCTGCTCATTTCCCTTACCAAGCAAGTCTGCTCATTTCCTACCAGTTAAGACGGACTATTCTCTGGACAAGTTAGCAGAAATTTATCTTCGTGAGATAGTTCGACTACATGGAGTTCCATCATCCATTATCTCTGATCGTGATCCAAGGTTTACATCGAAGTTCTGGGGTAAACTGCAGGAGGCATTAGGAACGAAACTGCATTTCAGCACTGCATTTCATCCGCAAACAGATGGGCAATCAGAGAGAGTGATTCAAATCCTGGAAGACATGTTGAGATAATGTGTTATTGAATTTGAAGGCAGTTGGGACAGATATGTATCTCTCATGGAATTCGCTTATAACAACAGTTACCAATCAAGCATCAAGATGGCACCATATATGAAGCATTTGTAAATGGTAGAACAAGATGCCAGGACACCTATATGTTGGGACAGAAACTTAAGTGAGAAGAAGATTTTGGGTCGCAGAATTTGGTTAGTAGAACACAGAAGAGAAAGTGGAACATCATAAGAAAACGAAAACGGTTGAAAGAAGCAAGTGATCGACAAAAGTCCTATGCTGATTTAAAGAGAAAGGACATTGAGTATTCGGTTGGGGATAAAGTATTTCTGAAAATTTCACCATGGAAAAAGATCTTAAGGTTTGGACGAAAGGGTAAGCTTAGCCCTAGTTTCATTGTTCCATACGAGGTTGTTGAATGTGTAGGACCATTAGCCTATCGCCTAGCGTTACCTTCAACCTTAGATTGGATTCATAATGTCTTTCACGTATCAATGTTAAGGAAATACAGATCAGACCCATCACATGTGTTATCAGCAGAAGAGATTATTCAGCCAGATCTCACTTACTCAACTATGAAGAGAACCAGTTCAGATCCTAGCCAAAGAAACTAAAGAATTGCCGGAACGAAGAAATAAGCATTGGTGGAAAGTTCTTTGGAGGAATGCAAATAACAAAAGAAGCAACTTGGGAATCTGAAGAAACCATGCGACAACAGTATCCACATTTGTTCACAACGGGTAAACTTCGGGACGAAGTTTTTTATTTAGAAGGGGAGAACTATGACATCCTACTGTATCGAGTCGTTGCATAGAGTCGAGTTGAGTCGGGTTGAACCAAAACTCGGTTTGAGCCATTAGAGTCCAGAGTGGGGTAGTATGGGATTTACTATAATAATGATAAAAAGTGGACTTACTTGAATAAAATAAAAAGATCAAAGTATAAGGATTAGGACTTACTTGCACTAAACTATAAAGCTTAGGTATTAAGTTGTAACCTATTGACAATTGAGGTACCATTTCTCCTTCTCTTCTACTTGTCCGCCGCATTTTCTTTCCATTGTCAACATAGTTAAGCAGTAAGTCAAACTTCAATGTAAGTAGAATAATTCCTTGAAGTGTGATGTTTATGTTTCCTATTTTCATTTAGTTATATTGGAGAATGAGTTATGAGAATTCTTGTTTGTAAATAGGAAGAAGAAAGTTCAAAGTGTGCAGAAAAGAGAAGCTGAACATGAGTTCAATGCTTTTGACGTCAAGTGAATATCTCATGTTGTTTACTGTTTCTTTGCATTGTAAATTGTTTGGGTGTGTTGCTAGTGAGTATGATATTGTTGCCATATTGCTTCACGTTGAGTGGGAGGACTGGTAATGGTGAGAAACAGGGGATGGAATGAGTTTATGAACCAGAGTTTGCTGGAAATTTTACCAGCAACTTCATCTTGATTTTGACCCCAGTAAATGATGGAACTAGGAATTGTCACAGAAGAGTTATTTGTCCCTTTTTGTGTTAGCTTTACGCGCGTTTTGGAATCACTCAATTTGAAGTTGTATATTGAGAGTTATGGCCAAAAGAACACAGACTGCACAATCTGGAAACACGTCGCGCGCCCGCGGGGTTTGGAAAGCAAGTCGCGCTCGCGACTTTCACATGCGCGGTCGCGACTTTGGTCAAAAACTCTCTGACTCTCAAATGGCACATTTCGCGCTCGCGAACTCCACAAGCCAAGCGCGCTCGCGACTTCGTCTCGCGCTCGAGACTTGTGCTGCGCGGTCGCGACTTGAGCCAGAAAACTCTCTGACTCTCAGACCTCTCTGACTCTCAATTGCACTTTGCGCGCTCGCAAGGTTTGAAGACGCGCTCGCGACTTCTCCTTGGGAAGCATCTCGCGCTCGCGACTTGTCCCTGTGCGCTCGCGACTTGTGGTTTCATGCATTTTGGACTTCATTTTCCATACAATTACATTCCTTTGCTCAACATACATGCATCCAATCATTGTAAAACAAAAATATAATATAAGAACATGGATTCAAACAACATGTAAGCAAATTTTGGTATCAGAGCAAATCAATATGATGAACTATGACGTTGTGAAACCATTTATGTGCTATTGTGTTACATTGTTGACATGCTAATCTTAAGCTCCATTGAGGTTAGGTTAGAAACAATGTAGATAAGGCTATGTCGCGACATAGAACTAGCAGATCTGCCGCCCCATACAGTTTGGAACTCCGGCAACAGGCCGTTGAAGTGGATATGAGTTAAACCGTGCGGTGCTAAATCCGGTAGGTGGCACCACGGACAATATTGGGGCAATAGCGAATCCGGTTCGGGGCCTATAGCATACAAGGTTTTCAATCCCGTTTCATGACAGTTTATCTATCGCACTTCGGTTTCGCTAATAACCTTATGGACCATACAAGATATATTTTGACTTAATCAATACAGTATATAAAGAGAAAGAAAGACGATCACAAGTAAAACTGAACATGTCATGATTTGGTGTGCTTTATCTGTGCTATAAATGTGTTTTACATGGTTCTTTGACATATGTATTGTGTTTTATTTGTTTATTTTTATATTTGATGAATATATCCCTTGAGCTGTTATTAGCTCAGCGAGTTACTTTTTAACTCGCAGGTTTTAAGATTGGTCTTCATAGGAGAGTTCGATACAACGCTGAAGTTCATCTGTAGAAGACACGGTCTCAGGGTAGCAGTTCATTTAACTGTAAATTTTGTATCTATCCTTTGATGGCATGTACAGGCACACAGTTGGCTCCAAATCACTTTGTAGACAGTATCATGTCTTGTAAATATTATATATCATTATTAATGTTATCAGCATCAAACCATGCTAGTATTTTCTATATACAGTATGAATGTCAGCATGATAGGAACATGCAGTCATCCAGTTGTTTCATGCTAGTATTTTCTATATACAGTATGAAGTCAGCATGATAGGACATACAGTCATCCAGTTTGTAGCGTCTCGACTCGGTTCATTCGGGTTTTCGGGTGGATCGGGAAGGGGTGTTACAAAATAAATAATAGAATGAAAAAAGGAATATGAATTCTTATTTCTATATTTAGCATGTAACATCGAATAATTCTATTTTATTCTTTTCCGGAAGCAAACTACTATATTTTATTATAGGAATATGAATAATTTTTATTTTGTTATATTATATTTTTTTCAACTTTTTTTTTTTAATTTTTTAGTCCAAATAAATTTATAAATCTAAATAATTTGTAATAGCGTGATATAAATCTAAATTTTATAAATTTATTTGTTGGTCGTAGTGATTGAGGTGGTGGTGATTTTGGTAGTGGTGATAATAGAGTGGTGATTGTGGAGTGATGATGGTAGTAGTGATTGTGGTGATTGAGGTGGTGGTGGTTACGGTAGTGGTGATATTGGAGTGGTGATTGTGGTGGTAGTGATTGTAAACAATGGAATTCAAAATTTGGTTAGGGTTTAGCTTTTCAGAGATTATAATATAATGATCATTACAAAGATTTTTGGATGGAATGGCTATTTACATATGGCAATTGACTATGTAGGGTCTGTTCGGCAAAATTAACTATTTTGATAGTTGTTAACTGTTTTAATAGAATTTAAGCGTTAGCTGTTTGAATAACTTTTTATGAAACATTAAAAACTAAACGTTATATGAGTTAACTTTTTATAAAATGCTACCTTAAACTCTAAAAATTAGTTTAAATATTATTTTAACGAACACTGTAAAAAGTAGCATTTAGCATTTTGACCAGTCAAAATGCTAAAAGCTACTTGAAAAACTGTTACCGAACACAGCCGTAATATAATTTCTATCCATCTCCGCAGTCCCTGCAACTGAGAAAAGTGTGGTTAGCTTTGACACCAGTGGATATGATATTGGAAGAACCACACCTCAAAGGCTAGCCGGTGAAGTTGGAGAATTCAAGTTCATATGAACCACATATTAAAATCACATACTTTCCCAATCTTTCATACCTTGTTTTGGAAAGATAAGTTTCATAACTTGTTTTGCAGCTAGAATTCTAACAAATTTATTATATTCCATCAGCAAATTCCTAGGTATCTCAGTTTTCAGAAAAATAATTTATTTTTGAAAAATATTTTTTAAATAACTGATGCAGTGTTATTTACTTGGAAATTGAAAATTAATTAAAAATATTAAAATTTTAATCTATAAAACTATAAAAATATTTTACTACTACACTAAGTCATTGATTAATTTATTTTATATATTTTTATATTTTTATATTATGATGGCCATTAGTCATCATAATTTCCTTCCCTTAAAGCTAAATTGACGTCAAACAAACATTTTGCAAGTGTCAACTTATATAATATTTGTCACCTAATGTTGTTGCTTGATTTACTTTTAAGGAAGGATATGATAAAATAGCTAAAGAAAGATAATTATAAGTTAATCTCTTGTCTATAAAGTTTCCCTTTTTCAAAACCTTAAAGTGCAATGGAAGAGATGAAATGTCCCTTTTCAACATCTCTTCAACTATAAATAGGTTTCTACACTTTTTTTCTCTTTCATTCAAATTCCATTCAAAAATGAAGATTCTGAAGAGCACCGATGCTGTTTGTTTTCTCTTCTTGATACTGATTTCTTTGTTATCTGGTAAAATTACTATTGTTGTTTTGTTCTTTGTTAATTTAATTATATATTATTTTTTCGGTTACTATTGTGTTATGTTTTATTACCTATAATGGAATATAATGTAATATAATCAAAAATATTTTTAACGTAATATCTCTATTAAAAATATTTTTGATTACACTGTATTATGTTCCATTACAATTCACATTTTACTTATAAACTTATATTATTGTGAGATAATTCAACAATTAGATTAAGATTAGTTATGATGATCGCACATTTTACTTCCATTTCTTAAGTTTGTTGCAATTCTGTGTAAATTTTTGGAGCTTTTTTACTCTAAATAAACTTATGAACTTTTTTTTTAGATGAAAATAAACTTATAAACTTATTATGTTTATATATATATAATTTATTTTATAAAATTTGATTATATTTAACCAAATCTTATCAAATTTGTAAACAAAATAAAAAATAATAAAATTTGTAAACAAAAACAAAATTAGTAAAATTATATATTTGACTTGACTAAAATTACTTGACATTGTAATTTAAACTAGGGGTGAGCAAATTTTAGAAAAATCGAAAATCGAATCAAACTCAATTATTTCTGATTTTGGGTTTGATATTTGATTTCTGGTTTCGGCTTCGGTTTTCAATCTTTAAATGGGTTATTGCAAAGCAATTATGTATGAGTAAAATCGAACCATTTGACATAATTGATGTATCGAACCAAACTCACCGGTTTGATTCGGTATCCAAACTTACTTCAGTTTGGTTCAGTTTAAAAAAAAAAAAAAAAAACTACGTTTGATTTTTGCGATTCGGTTCGGAACCAAACCGCATTTGCATGCGCATAATTTAAACATCAATTATTTAATATTGGTATTTGCTACTAGCCTCTGAAACCAGGGGTAAATAAATTTCATAATTAATAATTAGGATATCCAACGTATAAGTTATTACAAATAAATTTTACTAGTGAAAAATTTTTTTTGAGGGAATTTACGAATGAAAATTCACTCGCAAATTAATTAAGTTTGACACTTAGATAAATTTTTGCAGGGTCCATATTAGCACATCAAGTTACATTTTTTGTGCACAACAAATGCCCATTTCCCATATGGCCAGCAACAGCTCCAAACACAGGCCACCCTGTAATAGCTGATGGTGGATTCTACCTTCCCTCAGGTAAATCTCAACAGATAATTGCTCCATGGGATTGGAACGGTCGAATTTGGGCTCGAACTGGTTGTAATTTCAGCTCTAATCGGCTTCCGGCTTGTCAGACAGGCGATTGTGATGGCCGATTAGCTTGTAATGGACTAATAGGCATACCTCCGGTTACGCTAGTACAAATCTCTCTCCAAGCAGATAAAAGTAAGCCGAATTTCTATGATGTGAGCTTAGTCGATGGGTATAACATTCCGATTTCAATTACAAGTAGACCATTATCGTCGAAATGTACAATTGGAGGCTGCTCGAAAAATTTAAATAGCTTATGCCCTCACGAGCTTCAAGTAATTAACAATAATGGAGAAATTATAGCGTGTAAAAGCGCTTGCTTGGCTTTTAATCTCGACTCATTTTGTTGTAGAAATGAGTTTGGGAGTCCAGAGAAATGCAAACCTAATGTTTACTCAAATGTATTTAAGAAGGCTTGCCCTAATTACTATAGCTATGCTTTTGATTCACCACCCCCATTGGTTAATTGTGCATCTAAAGAGTATGTTATTACCTTTTGTCCTTCATCTTGGGGTGATGGTGAGCTCAATTCCATGTAAATAGATTATATGCTGATTAATATAGGCTTGTAATATGATCAGCACTGAACTTTGCTTTGTCAAATAAAACAAAATTTTTAATTTGTGTTTAGCACATTAATATTCTGATTTATATTTCTGTCCTTGTAGCTTTGATTCAAAGTTAAACTTTGAAAATTTAAATGATGGGTTAGAAAGAAAGAAAGGGTTTTTTAAAGGGAAGGAAAGGGAGGGATGGAATGGAAAGAGAAAAAAAAAAATTTTAAAGGAAAAATTACAATACGATCCCTGTGTTTGTGAAATACAATTAGTTCGTCTTTGTCTTCTTTTAGAAAATAGACTAAAATATTCTTATAGTTTACTTCCGACAGATTATGAGGTCCTTTCGTCCAATTTTTGCACATTTTCCATTAATTACTTTATGAAATGATGCACTGTAATTAGTTTAAAAACTCATGAACAAATTAGTTGTATTTTTCAAATAATAGAAACTGCGCTGTAATTATTTTGCTATAATAGTTTAGTATCTCTTTTGACCCATGTGTTTTCTTGTTGATTTAGTGGAAAAGATGCAAAAATTGGATGGAAAGATCTAATAGTGTAACAAAAAAAAAAAAAAAAAAGTATTCTTTTGACCCATGTGTTTTCTTGTTTGTATTTAGTGGAAAAGATGCAAAAATTGGATGGAAAGACTAATAGTGTAAAACAAAAAAAAAAAAAATACAGAAATAATTAGTAATAACATTAAAAAAGAACAAAAAAAAAAAAAAAATACAGAAATAAATTAGTATATGTTAAAAAAGATAGGGATGAACTAATTGTATTTTACAAATCACAAGAATCGTATTATAATTTTTCATTTTTTTAAGTTTTCCATAAGTACCACGTGTCCTTTAGAGACCTCCCACTCCTCATGTGGATAAAAAAATTAATCAGACCGCACCTGATTAACTACCTATAAAGAAATATTAATATTTTCTTTATACATATATTTGTTTCTTTATCCATTTTAAAGAATATTTTGATTATCTTAATGCGTGACTATTTTGTTATCGAAAATAAATGTGATGAATTATTTAATATATTTAAAAAAAAGAGAGATATCCACTTATGAATTATGCAAAATAGTAAATTTAACTAATATAAAAAATTTTAATCCGTGAAGATCTTGGCATTGAATTGGGCATGGTTTGAGCCAGTTCTTGACAAACAAAGAAAGAAAAAAAAGTTGTACTAGCCCAACGAGTCATGATTAGTGGGCCTCCATATCGGCTTATTACAATATTCAACAGCCCATTATCATGAATGACAGTTCCTCTGCATGGGCCCATTAGAAGATAGTAAAGCTCCAGTCCAGTCTCCACCCCTCGGCGCTCATTAGATAACTGGAAGGGTTCACCATAGATATTAGGGTTTCGGTCTCGCCGCTATAAATATTCAGCGAACACAGCAGTTTTACAAGTGTAGCAGCGAGCAAGGGGTTTTGTGGTCGCGCGTCTCGCTTCAAGATCTTGTTTGATTTTTTATCTTTTTGTTTCTCAGTAATTTTGTGATTCTCTGTGATTTCTTGTTTTTAAGTTCGGTTTTTCTGAAAAAATAAGGAGAAGAATGAAAATTCTCAATCAATTGATGAGAAAAAACTGCAACAATATGATGGAATACGTTCCATGATTCATGGTATTTAAGTCTCTGATGATTGATTATGAATGTTTTTTTTTTTTTCCTTTTAGATCTCTGAAGGTTTTTGATTTTTTCAATTTTCTTTTTCTTTTGAAATTTTTAGATGAGATATGATGAGTAATTTTTGGTCCGTGTTTCTGATTTAACCGTGACTGATTACCATTTTAGCACACTCTGATCTCATTTTAATATATCAGATTTTGGAATTTTTTAAAAATATTATTTTAGAATTTAATTTTTGTAAAGAAATTAATTGTGGCAGAAATTTTAAATTGAGTCTTGTTTATTAGTTTTTTTTGATATGTAAGCTTAAAATGTGATTTGAAGCTTCTGCTGTGATGAATCTATGAAATTATTCACATGTCAGACTTCAGAGATTTTCAATCAATGAGAAGAAATTTCATCTCTCTGAGCAGAAGTGAGTTATCCCAAATTGAGAAAAGAAGAGCTCTTTAAAATTGAGAAGCATTGGGCTGGGATTTACCTTCTTTAATTTAATTTACCATGGTCCAAATGAGGGCATTTTGAAGTCTTTTCTTTAAAAGAATTATTTTATAAAAAACCCAAACTTTATTCAAACTTCTGAAAGAAAAAAACAGTATTAAGTGATCTGGATCCACATTAACCTCAATGTCACGTTACATCATTTTTATATTAACGTTTTTTAAAAATAAATTGATATATTTTTGGAAGACCTTTTCATTAACTGTGAAGTAAACTCTAGGGTCAGGGTGTGATGAGCTTATTCTGGAAAAGGGGCCTAATTTTTAGAGATGTGGTAATACATTTAAGAAATTATTCAAATTTTATTTCATCGATGTATTCGCCCCTGTTACCAGGAAAAAATGTAGCTTGTGATAGAAAACAAAAGACTTATTTGATGATTTGAATTTTACAAGATACATATATTTACAAAAAAAATCTTATGATAGAATAATTTTCAAAATTGAGTTTTTATGTTTAAATTTGAGATAGAAATAATGGCTAAATTTAAAAAGTGAAATTAAATTTTTTTAATCATTTTATATAAATTTAAAAGCTAAATTGATTAAAAAGCTCAAATTTAAAATTTTTAACTTGTTAAATAAATTCAGGATCAAATTAATCTTTGTTTTAATTTATAATTGAATTCAATGAAACTCGAATCCAACAATCCCTTTTTTGGTTTTTTTGTCTAGATTAAAATTACAATCTAATCCTCATGACACCTTCTTCGATATATACAGGAAGCTAGTAAGAAAGAAACAGGTAATTACCAAGAAAACTAAAACTAAAAATTTCACAAAGCCAAACATAGCATTATACTCTGTATCTCTTCACTATATATACCAAACCCCAACACATTTCTTTTCTCATCTTTCAAGCCAAAACAAAATATTTTCTCTCTATCCAAACAAGATGAGTGTACTAGAGATGTGGACTAATCTTGGCACCGCAATTGGAAGCCTAATGTTTGCTTATGCTATGTTTCAACAGTACTTCCCTGATCAACTTCGTGGCTACGCCAGAACATATTTAAACAAATTGATAGATTTTACCTCTCCTTATATTCACATCACCTTCGATGAATAAACAGGCGAGCGTCTGAAGCGCAGCGAAGTCTATACCGCCATCCAAAGCTACCTTAGCGCCAACTCTTCTATGCGCGCCAAGCGGTTAAAGGCTGATGTTGTTAAAGATAACCAATCTGTTGTTCTTACTAGAGCGTCTGAAGCGCAGCGAAGTCTATACCGCCATCCAAAGCTACCTTAGCGCCAACTCTTCTATGCGCGCCAAGCGGTTAAAGGCTGATGTTGTTAAAGATAACCAATCTGTTGTTCTTACTATGGATGATCATGAAGAAATTACTGATGACTTCAATGGAATCAAAATCTGGTGGTCTTCAAGGAAAAATACCCCCAGAACACAGTCTTTTTCCCTCTATCCTGACAGGGATGAGAGAAGATATTTTAATCTCACTGTCCATGGGCGTCATAGAAAAACCATTATGACGTCTTACATAGATCATGTTATTAAAGAAGGGAAAGCGATTTCTGTTAAGAATAGGCAGAGAAAGCTTTATACTAATAATCCAAGTGATAATTGGTATGGATGGAAAGCTACCAAATGGAGTCATGCGGTGTCTAAGCATCCTGCGAGTTTTGATACTTTGGCAATGGCGACAAAGATGAAAGAACAGATCAAGAACGATTTGATCAAGTTTACTAAAGGGAAAGATTATTACGCCAAGATTGGGAAAGCTTGGAAAAGAGGTTATTTGCTTTTTGGTCCACCAGGAACTGGGAAGACGACGATGGTTGCTGCTATGGCTAATTTCTTGAATTATGATGTTTATGATCTTGAATTAACTACAGTTAAGGATAACAGTGAGCTTAGAAGGTTATTGATTGAGACAACCAGTAAGTCCATTATTGTGATTGAGGATATCGATTGTTCTCTTGATCTTACTGGTCAAAGAAAGCCAAAGAAGGAGAAAGATGATGATGAAAAAGACGAGAATAAAGATCCGGTTTCTAAAAAGAAAAAGGAATTAGAAGAAGAAGCAAGTAAAAGTAGCAAGGTGACTCTATCTGGGCTTTTGAATTTCATTGATGGGATTTGGTCTGCTTGTGGTGGAGATGATGGGATTTGGTCTGCTTGTGGTGGAGAAAGAATTATAGTGTTTACTACTAATTATGTGGAGAAACTTGATCCAGCTTTAATTAGAAGGGGAAGAATGGATAGGCACATAGAAATGTCTTACTGTTGTTTTGAAGCCTTTAAGGTTTTAGCTAAGACTCATTTGGACATAGATTCTCACGAATTGTTTGTGAAAATTGAGAAACTGTTGGAGGAAGTGAAGATGACACCAGCTGACGTTTCAGAGATTTTCATGCCAAAATCAGAAGATGAAGATGAAGATGAAGAGACTCGTTTAAAGAATTTGGTGTTTAAAGAATTTGGTTGCTGCTCTTGAGGAGGCAAAGGAAGAGGAAGCAAGAAAGAAGGCTGAGGAAGAAGAGAAGTTAAAAGCAGAGCAAGAAGAGAAAGAGAAAGCTTGTAAAGAACAATGTTAAAGAAATCAAAGAAAATGACTTGAGTGAAAATGGGGAAAAAGGGGATTCTCTTTGAAGACTTTAACTGAGAAATAAAATTAGCAAAGCTCAAAAACATGACTGAATTGGGTATTTTATGTAGATTTACTCTTTAGATTTGCAAGAGTAAAGTGTTCCTATTTGAGCATCAATAAGTTGAAAAATTAGGATTCGAAATTAATCAAATGAAAAATTGTGTTCTATAAGCAAATTTATATTTTCTCAGTCAAAAATCTTTACATCGTGTGATCTGTTGGACAGCTGTTTTGCTCTCTTAACCACCGATCTTGATAAGTCTCAGCTTGATGATGCAGATGGCGGAGGCAGCGGCGGTTATGGATGTCCTGGTAGGTTACATTGA